GGATTTTTTTTTTGTTTTCTTTTACGTTTCTTCTGCTTTATGTCATTAAAAAATTATTTATGCCTAAAAAATGACATAATTGCTCAAATGTGGCTTTTTTTTTTTCCGCGAAATGAATGATGATTAAAAGTTTATTGTCTCTGATAGCAATTCCAAAACAAAAAAAAACGTTTAAATTCCTTTGAAATACAAATAAAAGTGCGAAAAAAACAAAAAATTAAATAGTTGAAATTGAGAATTATCTGATTTCAGTTGACACTCAGTTAGCAGCAGTGTATTCATCGGTTGAGAAGACTAAAGATTGCTCTAATTGGAGCAGTTGGGGTCCATGTACATGGCCAAACAAGCAGAAAGTAATTTTTTGTCTTTTTAATAATTGCTTTTTTTTTTTGAAATAAATCTCTTCTGTTAAATCAGACAAATGAAAGAAAATATATTTTGTTATTAATCTACTGATGACTTCTGGTTAACATCATACTTCAGCTTCAGCTTATGGGTTGCAACACAAATTGTAAAACTTACTGTTGATATCAGTTTTACAGACACCGTATATGGAACAAATTACACCAATATGTCGACAACATTGGTTCTATAAATTTGTTAAAAACCATTATGGTGAAGCATTGGAAAGTTTCTTCCGTTATTTAGGATCTGTATTGAAATCAAAAGCAGCTTGTGGGATGTGCTCTTATAAGCAGTCTTGCGGTTTTGGTGGCCGTAAAAGATGTCACATTAGCCCATTCGAGTAGAATATAAAATTTTTCTAGTTTTTTTTTCACGAACCTCTATAAGTTTTGAAAAGAAAGAAAAAGAAACATTTTTTGAAGAAAAAATAAATTAATAATAAAAAAAACAAATGATAATAAGCATAAGAATAAGATTGAGAATAAGAATAAGAATAAGAAATAAACTTATAGAGTCAAAGGTGGACGTGCTATTCTGCCCTTTTTTGTGTCTGAAAAGGTATGCAAACCAAAAGATCTGAAAGGTGTTGACCAAATGGAAAGCTGTATTGTCGATTATAACATGGTAAAGGTAAGTCATTGGAATAGGGAATTTTCGCTGATGAATTTTATCAGTTCTCTTTATTCTATCATTTTTCATCATTATAAATAAATATTTTTATTGCTATTTGTCTATTTCCTTTCAGACACTGAGATAATTAGTTACCTAGAAAAGATGTATTTGTTGTTGTATGGATGGTATCTTAGATGTTGGCCCGTTAATCCAAATTCTATTGATAAATTGTAAACAACTCAGTGTGTATTTGTTGCAAAATTAAAAGATGTTTTTGAATTAAGGTCATCATATTAATGAAACACTTTTTGTGTATTGAAAATATTTCTGTATGATCTTCTTAAAGTTTTTTTATTTTTGCAAAACTAACGGAAAAAACAATTTAGTGGTAAAACTATGAATTCTATATTTGTTCAGGAAAACGGGGATGAATGTCAGTTGTGGCCATCAGATAAGGTTGATCTAAGTCAAATTGAACCTCAATTTTTACCACATATTCGAAACTTGAAATGGTACGAATGCACAGTGCAAATCATGTAGGTCTTTCCTTTTTAGCTCTATTTTTCGCCTTTTTTAAAGCTCTTTTTTTAAAGCTGTTCATAAGTGCTTAATTTTTGCCAGACAAAAAATCTTTTGAACTACTTTTTTGATAATCGATTTACTTTTTCAACTGTATAATAGCAGTGATAAAAGTTTTAACACTGTAAATTTCTTCAAAAACTGCATAAAGTGTAAAGTTGTTATTCATTTAACCATTTAATTTTTCTTTCTACTTTTAGTAAAATGAAGGGAGCAGGTGTAAAATCAGAAAAGGTATGCCGTTGTTGCTGCTTCCCGTACAGACCAAATCCAAAAACGTATCAATGCGAAAAAATTCCCGGAGCACCTGATCCTCCAGGAATTTAATAAAAACTGTTGAAGAGAATTAATGGAACAAGCAACCTTACTTAACATTTATTAATATGCTTTACTGTTTCTATGAATTGTCTCATATCAGCTCCAATAACTGCTATAGATTAGCTTTAAAAATTATTGCAAAAATTTGAACTGCTCGAGTAATGCAGTGAGGAAATTAGACTTGACAAACACAAATTAGCTGTATAAGTTTTTTTCACATTTCCAGTGTAGCTATTTGTTGATAATCTTTAAAATTTTTGACAAAAAAAATTGGCTTACTGTAAACAATTGATATGAAAATTACAGAAGCCAAATTCTAAACAGGTGAACAATACTGGGTAAAGAATGATTTTGATTACTTGACCAATTTTGTATCTATCATTGCCGTGATAGTTTGATAACGCTTTACTTGTAAACATCTGCCTTATTATCTGTATAAATCTTTTAAGGTTTGTTTTTTACTACACATAAACTTTTAAAAATCTAGGTGCTTGTTTTGCGTGTTACACCCCCCGTACCCTATCCTTTTTTCTCCTCCCCCTCCTCCCTTACAAAAAAAATAGATAAGCAGTCATATATCATAGACTTTTTCATAGAAGCTTCAAACTATGATTTCAAGGTTGCTGAAGGCTTTTGTGCATTACGTCATCGACTTTGGCTGTTCGCTTGCTGTCAAATAAATTGATCTAATTTTACTGACAGTTTCAAGAAATGGCTTTTAATCCGGTTTTTTACTCCGATGAAGAGTGCTCAGTATTTTATATTGATTCTCAATGACTCAAGAGAAATAAGCAGTTTCGAGACTACTGTATTTCAACAAAACTCTGTTCTGCATATAAGAAGTAGCCAATATGCAACAGCTGTATCAATTCTCTCCGTAACGTATAAACCATTTTACACGTATCAACAATCCCAAAAAAACCTTGACACTATATAACAACGAAGAAGGAAAGCCAATATATGGCAGTTTAATTAATTTCAGATCGAAAATGTTACAACAAAAATCATATTGCAAAAATGCCAATTAATACACCAATCGCAGGAGAAATTTTACCACTTTAACTGTTCTCCCATGACGGTAAATTCTGTCATTGTATAGACAGAAAAAAATTTAATAATCCCAATATCGTCTACTCCGAAGTGCATAAGAGACCGGGAAGACAAATCAACTGTTGTTTAGGTCAACAGATGTTACAGCTACGAGTATGTAAAAAAAAATCTGGCCAACCCTTATCATCAGTAAAAAATTTATTGCAAATTTTTACTTTATTTTAGTAAAAAGCCATGTTTTTTATCTCCATCTCATTTCTAAGTAGCCAAATAAATGATAGAACCAAAACAGGTGATGGTAAGTAAAACAAACTGCTAATCAAAAAACCATAACTTTTCCTTATCTGTCCAATAGTTATATCTTCGTTGAAATATATCACTATCAGAGAACTGCTTTTTTTTTTTTTTTTTTTTTTTTTTTTTTTTTT